CAAGCACAATCCATTGGCGAACACGTTGATTGCGCAGACCATAATATGTTGTGCGAAGTATGCGGAACCCTTGATTGTAATACGTGTAATTCCTTGAATAACACAAATGAAATATTATGCCATCGTTGTGGAACAATCCACACTGAAAATCAATGTTTATTCAATTTCTCTGAAGATATTAAGCAAATAGACCGCAATAAAGACCATGACAAGTTTGATGTTGATCTGTACTCAAATACTACCCTTGACAGTATGCTAGAAGAAAACTTTGACCCCGATGATGACAACGAAATAAGCGTTGGTAAGCCACATAAAGGACCAAATGATTCAACGGATACGCTTCACGAAAATGATATACTTTTGTCAAATGACCAAAACTTCGAACTGATTAACAAGTGGCTCCAGCATAAGTTACTTGAGTTTGAAGATCAATCATTCGGCAAAGGAATTCTACTATCAAAAGATGAACGGTCAATGGTGTTTTATCACTTTTTAAAATTACATGGATTTGTTTTACCATTTAAACATGAGATTGGCGGAGAATTCATACTAGTAAACCACCCGTTTATGGATTTATATGACGACTTTCGGTCATATATGGCATTAATCTTCAGTGGACTTTATGTTGTATACCTCACCAATGATGTTCGTCGATGGGCTTCGTTGTTCAATCACACATGTATGTCTAATATCTACAGCAATTGTATAATTACTTTGAATGAGGACAGTAATTATGATCTTGTTCAATATCTACTTAGGATAAGAAACCCTGACCAAGAAGAAGACTACAATTCAGACGAAGCAGAGGAATAGATTTGTATCAATAAACTTAGTGAAATAGAGGTGTAATTTTGAGATGTCAAATAGATGTTTTGTACCTAATGTAACGCAATATTTACAATCATCTTAGCTTCGTCAACGTCTTGAGATTACAAATACAGACAATAAGTTTATTATAGTTTCCAATCTTGCATATTTTAAGTTGCATTGTATTGAAAAGATATCTTTATAATAACAAATATGTACATTTTTGTAGGTTATTAGATTTTAGCATGTCATGATAGGTTGATACAATGTTATTTAAACATTCATATTGTTTCATCTTAATTCGTACAACATCTATACATAAAACAAAGTACTAGTATTAAAGAGATTGTTTCAGACATTGTTTGGTTTGTATGCAGTTTGATCACCGAATAAATGTTATTAAAGAGGTTTCGAAGCTTCATTCTCTAAATGTTGTATATAGTTTTTTTTTAACTGAATCCATGATTATGAAATATATTTATTCAATGATACAAGTGGGGTAATTTTTTGGTTTGATCATTTTATATGAAATACATGGGATAAAAAACAAGTAATTAATATTAAAATTGGTTGACTAATTGATTGTTGTTTGCTTAAATAACAACAAAAAGATGTGGCACGAATGCCAATGAGACAACTTGCCATCCAAGTCACAATGTGTTAAAAGTAAACAATTATAGGTAAAAGTTCGGCCTTAAACACGGAGCATTGACTCACACCGAATTCCAGTTGCAATTTATAATAAATATTCAGGAGAGAAACTATAAACAATACAGAGTAGGCACGTTTTGTATGGTATGTCGACTGGAATGAATGGTTTGGAATTTGGACTGGCATAATAAAAAAAAGAAAAGGAGTATTAATACGTATTTTCTCTTTTGAACATATTTCCGGGATAAGGGTATCGACATATTAAGTAAAATGTAAGCAATTTTTTTCAGATAAATTTCGATTTAGATATAATCTTTTTGAAAAAGATATAGAATTGTATGATTTTTATTTAGATAAAAGTATACACATCGTCGCTTTATATATGACTTGAAAGTGAAATGATTTGTATATTGAAATTATACTGACCGCGAAATTTAGCCTGTAATTTTATATCATATGTAGGTACTCTTATCCCGGAAATATGTTACATTAAAGCATTCCTGTAACTAGCCACTTTTCCCTGCATTTCATATTTTCCCTTCATATTTAAACATATTTCCGGGATAAGAGTATCGACATCTATACTATTAAACGAGAAGACCTCATTTTGTGTGTCGCTTCTCTTCCTTCCACAATAAATTAATCATCATGCCCCTGTGTCCTATAGGTACCATGCATAGTCGCATGATAATTCAGTTTGGGTTATTTTGGGAGAAAAACGAAACAAAAAAAGGCGTCCGGATATTGTTTCCGTCATCGGACGGACTTTTAAGTCATAAACAAGACTTCCGTTTAGAACTGTTTTAAAATTGCGCATAATTTTCCAAAGTACTTGGGACAGGACAATTATTTTCACGGTTTTCTGTATACTATGATCATACATATACTATTAATAAAATGTATTTGCAATTTACTATCAGTTCCAAGTTTACTATCCACGGCGGTCGCTGACCACAGGGACTCGGTTAGCAGATTAAAGTTTTGTTAATCAATGTTTTTTAATTTGTTTTAGTATTTCCTGTCTATTTGTAATACTTTATTAACGTACTTGACGTTGACATCACTATTTCTTTGTTTTCTAGCAATGTGCGGTTTACTATCCATATCCGTATACTGAAAAATCCTTCAGTATACGGATATGGATAGTAAACTGCACATTGCTAGAAAACAAAGAAATAGTGATGTCATTATCAAATACGTTAATAAAGTAATACAAATAGACAGGAAATACTAAAAAAAATTAAAAAAACATTGATTAACAAAATTTTAATCTGAAATTAGCCAGTCATAAAATATTTTACGAAAATTCATCCTACAACAGTTTACATACTTTCAACCACGCATTAAATGCCCGTGATTTCGCGGGTGTGTTCTAGTATGATATAAAATTACAGGCTAAATTTTTGAGACTGATATGGAAAATGGTAAAAATAAAAAAAGAATAGCACTGTTTAGTCGCTATTTCGTTTTACTGTGTATTGCAAACACAGTTTGAAGTAAATGCTAATATATTCTGTTTGCTTGAATGTCTGTTTAGACCGTACAAATATTCAAAAATGTATGATGTGAGCACCTTGAAAAGAATATGATTATTAGAAAACAACTTAGACATCGGAGCTACTACCCTGATAGAAAGTATAGGATATGGGATATCTTTCAAAGACACAAAATCAGCATGTGCAAAGCATCATCTCAAAGTCACAGTGAGGCCTTGAACACAGAGCAAAAAACTAAAAAAAAAAAAAAAGGGAGCATATACCTATTTTATCTTTTTACATATTTCCGGGATAAGGGTACCGACATATTAAATGAAATTGTAATGCAATTTTTAAGGGTATATAGGAATCATTCTTTCCACACAACTGTCCGTTTGTAAGTTTATTAAAGTATTTAAAAAGGTATGATATGAGTAGTTGAACAGAACATAAGGAACAATATTGTGTCATATTTGGGCAGAAAACGGAGAAAACGGAAAGCATAGCAGCTTTCCCTGCAACACAAACTTTCTCTTTACATCATATTTCCGGGATAAGAGTACCAACATAAAAAGTCAAATTGCAGATTTCTTCGGAAAGAGGTATGATCTGAACAATAATATCATGGTCCTTTCGTTTCTTTTTCTGTTAACAGGGTCGTTTTTTTACATCTCCTACAAACAAGTTTGGAGGTATATATCACGGCACTGTCCACACTGCTCAAGGCGCATTTACTTTATTTATAAGATGCTAGCAGTTTCACAAGTTTACAAGAAACTTTGTTTCATTCCGAAAGAAAGGAGAAAAAACCAACAGCATCAAAGAAACTATTCAAATGAGAACTCACTTTTATTTCCGGGATAAGAGTATTGACATACAGTAAAATAGTAGACTATATTCAGAAGCTTCTATATACATTGTAGTCTGTCTCATATATTCGAGAGAAAATATCTTGCTGCATAAATCGGATAAGTGTTTATTAATTAAACTAAAATTACAAGATAGCATGAATTGCTCACCTGTCAAAAATATATTTTGCATTGTTGATTATTTTATAGTTACAACCTATCATAATTTTCGATGTTAAAGGCACACCTCGCGAATAAGTCAAAAGTCATCATTTTAGGGGGACAATCTGGAAAGGAGTCATTCAAAGAAGCCATCTGATTATTTAGGTGGAAATGGTAAATAAGTAGAAATTGTTATTCTGGGCATTAAAATTTGTTTGCGCGAATGATTTAACACTGGACACTTTTAATTTGCAAAACACTCATTTGCAAATCCGCCGCCGCCTCTCCTTAGACCTACAATGTCGTGTATATAACCAAAATGTGCGGAATTACATGGGATTCAATAATTTCATTGCTTTTCTGCTGTTATTATTGTATATATTTTGTAATTTGATTTAGAAAAACATGGGATTTTCAATATCCCATGGGATAGGGCAAATCCCATGGGATTGACCATTATCCCATGGGATTTTGGTTAAATCCCATAGGATTTTTTTGAGTCCCATGGGATAATTGTTGTCCCATGGGATATTTGTTGTCCCATGGGACAAAAAAAATCCCATGGGACTAGAATTATCCCATGGGATTTTTAATATCCCATGGGACAAAATAAAATCCTATGGAATTCAAATTATAAATATACAGTAATGTGTATGTTACAATGAATACTGTTTGGTAGTAAAAAATTAAATAAGATATATATGAGTGTATTTTGGTTTTTTTCATTTTGTCACAAACATGTTTTTAATTTGTTTATATGACAATAAAGATTATTATTATTTTGGAAATAATAATACTATTTAAAGTCAAAAAATAAAATCCTTTAACTGAAATGAAATGATGACATGTCTTAATAAAAGAAAGAAATATTGATTTGAAATCTTTGTCTTGTTTGTTTTATTATGAAAAATAGAACTGAATAAAATATTTCATATTCTGACTGAGTTTTAGTTTTTCTTGTTTCAGCTTGCTATGTACAATTATTCAGTCCACTATATAAGAGTCAAGTAAATAAATTATTTCATCCACTAGAATATTCCTACAATTCTTAGACAAAACCTCTTTTGCAATCTGTTCTTCAAAAATCTTCCTCCGTACATCTTTATTGGATGGAGCGATTTAAATGAGTGGACAAAGCAAGTTCATTTGGACAACAAAATACTAATATATTTTTTCATTCCTCCTTTCTTTCAATTGATAATTACGTTGTTGCATTTACATGATTAAGTTCTTGTGCATCTATGATCATGATGATATGACGCCTTTTTGTTTATAGTCATTATGATGAAATTTCCTCTTTCTTATGAAGGAAAAAAACACATTCCATTTCAAATTAATAAAAAAGTCACACTATGTAGAAAAATATCAACTTTAAGTTTTCCGTTCAGTATTGACTTGTTGAATGATGATCATGAAAACCAAGATGTCTGACCTACAAATACACAAAACTCAAAAATTATAAATGAAGAGAAATACACATGTACAGCAATAAAATGGCTATTTTATCATGTTTATGTACATTTTGATAAAACTTTCATTTGAATATTTAAAATTGTAAGAACTCTTATTTCAGTGCTTTGTGTCTATGGTTTTCATATTAGTTGTTTTTTGTGCCTTGTTGCAGTCTTTTGAGTTAAGCCAATTGCAACAAATGTTTACAGTTTGTTCAAATGTTGTGCTGTTATTAAAACCACTGTCCCAGGTTAGGGGTGGGTTGGGTGCTCACAAAATGTTTATTTTATTAGTTGATATTTACTTTGAATTAGCTGTCAGTAAATGTGAGTACTAATAGATCTGTATGTTGAGTCTTTTTTGTTAAAGGGAAAGAATAAATTTCCAGCCACATCCGGTCTGTTTTTTTGGTAGCTGTTTTTCTGCTTTGTTGCATTCTAATGAGTTAATGAAATTGAGAATGAAAACGGGAATGTATCAAAATAACCTGACCAAAGAGCAGAAAATAGCCCTTTTCAACTGATTTTATAGTTTTTATATTTAAATGAACTGACTTACACCACTGTCCTTAATTAGAGGAGGATTTGGCGCCAGCAAACATGTTAAACCATGCCACATTTTGTAAGTGGCTGTCCCAAGTCAGGGGCCTGTTATTCAGTGGTTGTCAATTGTTGATATATATCATATTTGTTTTTTGTTTTTTGTTTTGTGCAAAAATCAGGCACTTAGCTTTCGCCTTTGTGGTGTTTCCCCCAAGCATGTTTAGCATGGATAGACACCATGCCCTTTTTGAATTGTTTTACATTTGTTATTCATGGCCTTTTATAGATTACCATGCAGTATAGGGTTTGCTCATTGTCGAAGACTGTACAGTGAACTAATTTTGTTAAATTTAATGTCATTTGATCTCTATTGGAGAAAAGTCTCATTGGCTATCATACCGCTTCTTATCTTTATATCAACCCTGCCATATTTTGCCTGTCCAAAATCAGGAGCCTGTACATAGTTCAGTGGTTGATGTTGGTTCACGTCCGTCATATTTGTTTTTTCAAAACTTGTTTTTTTTTTATAAATTAGTCTGGTATATTTGAAGTTTGAATTTATGTTTTGTTCCAAATTTTGTTTGTGGTGTCTTTTATAGATGACTATGTCATGTATAGGGTATGGGTTTTCTCATTATTTACAGGTCATTATTGGCCTCTAATAAGTAATTGCATTGCTTACATCCACTTAATTGAACTCTGGTGGATAGTTTTCTCATTTATCATACCACATCTTATTTTCATAATAATCATTATTCAAGGGCAATAACTTTTATAGAAGTGGACTTACCATTTAGGCTTTGTTGACGTCTATATTTCTATTTTTGTTGATAATTTCTTTTGTTTATAGTTTCCCTTTATCTTTAATGTCCTTGCCCTACACATAGAAGGGTAAACATTATCATTTAATGACAATAACTACTATCACATAATTAGTACTAGTAGGCAACTGACAATTTTGGATCATTTGTATATCTTGTCTTGCTAATCATTTTTGCTGTTTAATATTATCAATATTCTATGAAAATGAGGTCACAGTAATATTAACCTTGGCAGACAGACATCTTCTTATTTTTATATGACACCTTGTAGTTATTCCATACACCAACAAGTAGACATATGCTTATAATATCTGATAAAATGAAAAAACCAAGAAAACTTAGCATTGACCAACGAACCATAAAATGAGGCCATGGTTATATGAATCTGCCAGACAGACATGCACACCTTACAATCGTTACATCAGTCAAATATAATTTACCTGTTGCTTAAAGCATATGATAAACTGACAAAACAATGCAAACTTTTCATTGACCAATGAACCATGAAAATGAGGTCAAGGTCATATAAAACATGCTAGACAGACATGTGCATCTTACAATCATTCCATTCACCAAATATAGGGGCCTTATTGCTAACAGTATCTGAAAAATAGATCAAACCACAAAAACTAAACATTGTCCAATGTACTATGAAAATAAAGTCAAGGTAAGATGAAACTTCTCAGTCAGACATATGCACCTTACAATCATTCCATACACCAAATATAGTTGACCTATTGCTAATTTGAAAATAAGGAAATAGAAAAAGTGACCAAAAAACAAAAAAATAACATTGAGCAATGAACCATAAAAATTAGGTCAAGGTCGAATAAAACATGCCAGACAAACATACATCCTTAAAAATGTTCATACACCAAATATACTTGACATGATGCATACAGTATTAGTAAAACCTGGACATTTTTACCCCGGAATAGTGATGTCATGGACTAGGACAATTAGTCTGGGGACATAAATTACTGACATCGGACTAAATATACTAGTAAATTCTGTATCCATGGACTTTTAATACTGTACTAGTTATATTTGTCTGACCAGACAATTTTCATTATTTTTACCAGGACTAATTTATCTCTTACACTAGTTCTCAGAGAGACATGTCACCTTACATTGACAAATTATTCTGACTCTGAACAAACCAGTATTTGCTCTTACTCCTTAATAATACTGCGTGCTTAAGGGAGAAGCAGCAAATACCAACTTTAAAGTCTTTGGTTTTACCCGGTTGGGTTCAAAATAAACAACCTTCTGCACTTGAGGTGAACACGCTACCACCAGACCAGGCAGTATAGTATGAGGAGTTTACCCAAGATTTAAAATGGACAGTAGATTTTTTATGCCCCCGCCGTAGCGGAGGGGGCATTAAGTTTTAACCTTGTCCGTCTGTACGTACGTACGTCCCAAAATTGGTTTCCGTTCTCTAACTTTAGTTTGCCTCAACCAAATGTTATGAAATTTATACACAATGCTTATTACCACAAAACACAGATCAAGTTTGAATTTTGGTGGCGTCAATTTTACCTTTCTAGAGTTATGCCCCTTTACAAATGGAAAATTGCTGAATTTATCGTTTCCGTTCTCTAACTTTAGTTTGCCTCAACCAAATGTTATGAAATTTATACACAATGCTTATTACCACAAAACACAGATCAAGTTTGAATTTTGGTGGCGTCAATTTTACCGTTCTAGAGTTATGCCCCTTTACAAATGGAAAAATTGCTGATTTTTTTGTTTTCTTTCTCTAATTTTAGTTTGCCTCAACCAAATGTTATGAAACTTATACACAATATTCATTACCACAAAACACAGATCAAGTTTGAATTTTGGTGGCGTCACTTTAACCGTTCTAGAGTTATACCCCTTTAGAAATGGAAAAATTGCAAAATTTTTATTTTCTTCTAAATATCAAGAAATTTTTTAAATTGGAGTTATCTTCCTTGATCCATGATTATAGTTGAATCAACTACAATCAATGCTTTATACAATGCAATGTTTAATTTTGACTTCCACTGATAAAACACAGATCATGTTGAATTTGGGTAGTGTCACTTTAACCATTATTGAGTTATGCCCCTTTATAAATCGAAAGATTGCAAAATTTTTAGTTTCCATTCTGTAACTTATGTTTGCCCCAACAAAACATTATGATACCTATACGCAATATTCTAAGATCAAGTACAAATTTTTTGTTTCCGTTTTCTAACTTTAGTTTGCCTCAACTAAATGATATGAAACTTATACACAATGCTTATTACTACATAATACAGATTAAGTACGAAATTTGGTGGCAACACTTTTACCATTCTTGAGTTATGTCCCTTTATAAACATAAAAATTGCTTTAGTTTGTCTCAACCAAATGTTAAAAAACTTATACACAACCATTCTAGAGTTATGCGTGTTTACAAATAGAAAAATTCCTGAATTTTTAGTTTTTGTTCTCTACTTAAGTTAGCCTCAACCAAATGTTATGAGACTTACACACAATTCTTATTACCACAAAACTCAGATCAAGTTCAAATTTGGGTAGCGTCACTTTTACAGTTCTTCAATTATGTCCCTTTATAACTATATGATATGCAAACGGGGGCATCATCTGTGTCCACATGTGGACACTATCCACATTTATTTTTCAACATTCTGGACATTTCTACCCATGTCAGATATTGTCTATCTATTTTGGCCTTTTGTAGCTTATTATGCAGTTTGGCTTTTTAGCCCATTGTTGAAATCTGTACGGTGACCTATATAGTTGTTAACTTCTACGTCTTTAGTTTCTGTTGAAGAGCCGTCACATTGGCAATGATACCATATTTGTATATATTTTTGTCATGTAGGTGTAAGGAGACAACCTTTTGATTTTCTGGTGGGATAAAAAGGGGAGACAGATTTTTTATCACCTGGCCTGGTTAGTTTTTCAGGGTTCGTAAGGATAGAAAACCATGCAAATTGTAACAAACCCCTGTGGTACGACCATATTTGCCAAAAGATTAGTCCAAATAATTATGACGTCTTGCAAGGCTATTTTAACTTTTTTCTGGGCACATAATAGTTAATAGTCAAAGTTGTGACTGATCGCGGAAATATGAAGATAGATAGATAGAAAAAAAAAATAAAATAGCCTTGCAAGACGTCATTATTTGGACTACCAAAAGATGTAACCTAATTCTTACTTGTTTGGGGAACAGGGGATTAACCGAACCACTATTCAATCTAAATCAGTGAACTGAATTATTGTCTTTTGCAGTAGTCCGAGTCGACATCTGTAACTAATCGTGCAAATTGATAGTCAACAGTATACCTTTTTTCAGAATGTCAGCTTACAACAAAGAATCACTGGTGATAGGGGAGTGTAACCGATAAATTGATCCTGAATCAGATAAGATTTTCCCAGTAACGGAGAACCCCTTTCTTTGAGTGAATATAAATAGTGACGGGGGTATCACACATAAATATAAATCTGAATTACAGGAACATCGATCAGCAAAGTAAACTTACATATTAATCTCGAAGTTATTTGCGGTAAAGACAGACTGTGCTCCTGAATTAAGGTATTATTTATTTGTGTATCTTAATCGGGGAGGGGGGGGCACTTCCTATAAACAAGATGATAGGACGTGCCGCTGGAATAGGTCACTTTTCCAACTTGAAAATATGGGAATAGGTGCAGGGGAAAACTATCAGAAATATATGATAAGGTCGATAAAGTTCCAATTACTTGTATTTTGTCATTTTTTCACAGCCGAAAGTCTCGCCGTAATCTTCAATCAAGTAAACATAACACACAGAATCTTAGCCTTAAATATTCCACTTTTCCAACACACCCCACGAAACCCAATCAATATGGGAAAAGGTTACAATTTTACCCACGCAATATATGAAAAGGTATACATTTTTAAGATCTAAATTATATGAAAAGGGTGGGGTAACAGAACCCCAGCGACACCCCTATCAATTAAGTATTGAAGTGCCCCCCACCCCCTGAGGTATTTTACTGCTACAAGATATTTGATTTGCTAATCACGCACCCGTTGCTGAGCAGAGAACCATACTTTCAAGCCAGGGACAGTCTATACTAACAGTTAGTATAGAAAGTCCTTGTAAATAGGCAGGCAAATCCTAACAGTACTGTAACTTAATGATACATGTATATCAAGTTACAGCACCTCACCCAGCACAGTTAGCACACTGGTGTGTGTCAGTCTTATAATATAAAACTGCGTAGGTTCATATCGTTTGATTCAACATTTTTTAGGACCGTTGTCAACATGGTCAAATCCGACCTGCCACTTTGCAACCTGACCTGCAAAAATATAATTCGACTAAAAACATTGCCAGTCAAAATTGCTTTTTGAGACTGGGCGACTGAAAAAGTTTTAAAATGTGACCTTGTGACCCTATTTGGAATTCTCCATTCGTCGGTGTGGCTAAAAAGGGGGCATTGTTTTTTTTTTCTTGGGACAAAAAATTGTTTCTATCTTTATTAAAAAAAAATCAAGACCAATCATAAACTTTTTTTCAAAACTCAGTGTCGTATTTTATTGTTTTCCCAACAATTTTTAATAAAAGCTTAAAATGTTTGTTTCACTTCCCTCTGACTTCCCTCCTGATTTTTTTTTCTCAAGAAATTATAGAATCAGTAAATGGATATATATATATGTCTGTGGTCACCGTCATGCATTTAGATAAGAAATTCCAGCATGCATCATCAAATAATTCATGTGTATTTGTGACATCAACATAACTGAAACATTATATTATTTCCCAGTAATTAGGTAAATCATTTTGATTTACAATTATATAATGTCTGGAACTTATGCATGTATATGTCTCACAGGCACTTGTCTCAGAAAAAAAAATCCTATATACTTTAATAAAGGTATATAGGAAATAAAATTCTGAGACAAGTGCCTGTGATATATCTGTCAGTCCCAGAATAATAAATATAATTGTATCTTAATCTTTGGGAAAATCCGGTTATTGAATTGTTAAATTCTTTTACTTCATAATTATGTCAAAGTATACTTTTTAAAGTTTTAAAGTTAAAATTAATATTCCGTTTTGATCTGAAGAAAAACTTTTTAAACTGGAATGACATGGTCAGTCAACTGATTTGTTACATGGCTGATTACAGGTAATTAAAGCATGCAGTAATTTTCCATTACGACAGTGCGTGTACCCTGGGGTGTGTACAACGTATTAGAAATACCATAGTTTTCTAGAGAACATCCTGTCTATGTGTAATACAGATTGATGACATTACACAAAATTTCTTTCGTTAAATGTAGTTAAGTATCTGTGTTCATTCCCTATTGCAACACTACAAATTTTTCGTAGAAAAAAATGTTAAAATTTAAAAAAAAAAATCTTTTATATATTAAATAAAGAAGAAAAAAGTAGCAAATAAACTTATGTAACTACGCATTGAGTAAACATAATTTCACTTTACATGTACAAACCATTGAGAAAACGTGTATATAGTTGTGTTTAAAAAGGCCAATTCCCAGTGGATTTATTTCACACTAGGACCACAGGCACTTGTCTCAGAATTTTGTTTCCTATATACCTTAATATAACATTAAAAGTATATAGGAAAATTTTTTTCTGAGACAAGTGCCTGTGACTAGGACCTAAGATAACTAGAACTAAGTTCATTGGAAAGTCTTTTTGTCTGATACATGTATACCTATAGATAATGTACATAATTAATTAAGAACAGCTTCAAATATATGCCTATAATTTAACGGTACGTCTAAAAACCGCTCAGGATCTCCTGACTGCAGACAGGACATAAAAAGTAACTCAGGACATGTATATATGTTTTAGTGAGCGTTGAGGGTATACATTTGATAGATAATTTAATTTTTGATCTTATAATTTTGGTTTTGATAAAATCAAACCAACATTAAAGAAGTTATTTGGGATACGTCATGCAGGACCGATGATCATATTCAATACCAATGATCATTTTGATTAGGTCGTTTGATCTTTAATAATTAGGACTGATTGGTGATGGTTATAAACACATACAAGTAAACTTTACAAACAAACAAAAAAAACGTTTCCTTGGAAAAATCATAATAATACATGAATATTGTTTTTACAAAAAAAAGTTTTTTTTTCGTGTTGTATGTAATAATTGAAGCCATTTAGAAATATAAGAAATCTTCATATAGTCGGGAAATTTTCAATTCAAGTTATTTCATTTGAAAACGTTAAAAAAATATAGATCTTATTCGATGTAAAAATGTTGCGTCCTTGGAGATCAAAACCCCGTTTAAATAGGGTTTGTCTACTTTCGTCCATTGCCGAACATTCTATAATCAAGGATTTGTACAAATCCTTGCTATTATAATATAATGAATCGCATCTCCAATATCACCACCATTACATAAAGTACAAATACAATCTTCTCCTAAATATTTGGCATCTAACAATTTCAATAGGAAATTTTGCCGGAGTAACGATTTAGTTTTGAGATATTTTTTTTCTTTGAATAAACTGAATTTTAAAAACGTTGTAGTATTTTTCTGAAACATTTTTAAAAGGAAACGGACTTGTAAACAAAATTTATTTTTGAATATTAATATTGAACAATGATTGTTAAGAAAACAATCTGCCAAAGTGGTTTGGTAATTAACTGGCTTCATGCTGTCAAAAATGTCTCCTTTTTATAAGTAATTGATAATAAAAAAACTATTTGAAAGCGAATTAATCATTTCCTCAACTAAATACCATCTTTAAATAAAGTCAATTCGTCAAGAACTTTCTCTCATATATTTAAACAATTGTAAAATAATTAATTTAAACTTTTGTACTGCGACTTTCTGTCCGTTTACCAATACTTATTCCTTGTTAAGTTTTTTTCATATCCATTTACGCATACTTATAATGTGATAATTTTCCGGATGCTTTTTATCCTATTTTCATATCAAACAACCATGTTACCCGTAGAACGGAGTTAAGTACAAATTTAGGAATTTAGTACTTAAAATTTTCAACAACAAAATTTTACACTTTCATTTACCTGGATTTTTTTCTACGCTTCGAAGCCGCCACCCTGTATCACACATAGCCAACACCTCGCATGACGTATTCACGATGTTGAGGGATTGACAATATACAATCAAAGTTAGCAATATACAGCAAGTAAGTAATTGGGTGTTGAATGCCAGTTGATCTGTATTTGTAAATTTGTAAATTGAATTCAACCTGTTTAGAACGTGTATTGTTGAATTGTTTAATAAAATTACACACATAATCTGGGCTGATATGCATAAAACCACTTTAAGTTCAAGGTATCAATGAAACTGGGTCTGCATGAAAAAATGACTTATCACATTGTACCAGAACCTATGTTTACTGTTAGATGATAAGAAAATATAGCTGTAGGCCTAGTTGAAAATCTTTACACATTATTTATTCTTTAAATTTCTATTTGACTGTCTGGTTGCTTCTTATGTGTTTTAAATGTTTGCGTTTTGTATGCTATAGTTAATTTTTATAAACTGTTGTACGTCATTTGGTCGTTTTTAAGTATTTGCCATGGAGTTGTCAGTATGTCTTCGACTTATAAGTTTTATATAATCTGCATCTCTTGTGCTGTATTTTAAAATGTATCTACACAATTGCTGCATCTTTACACATTCATCAATACACCTAAAAATATGAATAACGCTTTCGTATATATAAAAAATAAGGAGATGTGGTATGATTGGTAATGAAACAACTATCCGCCAGTTCAATTCAAAAACCTGATATAAGCAAATGTGACTTACTTACTTACTTTAGTCAGAGAGATCTTGAATCTGAATTCAAGGATACGAATTGGGAAGGGGGTAGAGGTGGATTAAGGTGAGGGCATGGGGCCCGTCCCTTTTTTGGAAAAAAATGGTTGATTATTTAGAGAATCACTGAAGCGGGCCCCCTCTTTATGCATGACAGTTAGTGCCTCCAGAGACATATTTGTATTATATGTCTCTGGTGCCTCTTTATGACATTGTTTGGATCCGCAACTGTTGAGGACTTCATAAAAAAATATTAAGTAAGTTTTGTTTTGTGATAAAGTATTTACATTAACATAGACAGAAATAGGATAAAATAAACTACCGAAAGCTTAAGTCCACATAAGAGGGTATGGATGGGGGTTAACAGAATAGAGAATAACGGGCAAACAATAAAGATTAAAGAATGATGAAATGCTAAAATATGAGGAAAGAGAGTAATGAGCAAAAAGTGTAAGTTTGTAGAAATATAGCTAAAAAAAATAAAGAACACAGAAAAAGAAGACCCCCCCCCCCCCCCCCCCCCCCCCACCCCCCAAAAAAAAGATCCTGATTTCAACTTTAACGCTGCCGGGATATTTTGAGACAAAGTGCACGTATTAGTATTCAGCCGAAACCACTACTGAAGCGTTTCGCATCCATACGTTT